TTGAAGGGTCTAGGCCCGAAACGTCAACCTCTCTGCTCCTATGATGCTGCTTGGCCTGCTGTGTTCATCCAGCCCTGCACCTTGTTGTCTCGGATTTTCCAGCATCTGCAGTTCCTACTGTCTCTGATACAAAATACTGATGCCTTGCAATCGGCTGATTTTAACTTCTTAAAGCTGGTTGGTTTTGATCTAAGTACGTAAAAACAAAATTCCATCAAGCCTCAAAAATTAAGTCTTAAATGGAAAAGGACATTGATCCTTATGGGATGAAAAGAAAGTTGAAAATACACAGCATCTCAAAGAAAGCAAAATGTTAATGTTCTTACATTCTGACTTATGAGCTTATAACAGAAGCATTAATCAGACCTTAATGATTTTCAGATGTTCTGGGATTTAATGTCTATTTATTACATTCTGTAATTTTTATTATTGGCTAGAACCGGTTTCAATATTGTTGTGGGCTGAATAATGGAATCAACACCAAGCTTCATACAATAGTAGATAATTATTGTTTCCACATTCATAATTATCTATAAATTACATTGCAATAATCATTAATCTCACTGTTTAATTAATCCAATAAGGTTGACGATTATAAACTGCAGTTTTAACCATGGAGGATATTCAATGGGAGCTTCAGTTGTTTTCTTGAACATTTGATTCAGAATGACTTCTTTTACAATTCTGTACCCTTCTCTACTGAAGTTGATGGGCCATGGAGATGTAGGCCACTTTCCAATGTGTATCTGACTGACTTAACAGTGAAATTTTGGTTCTTTTGTGCAGTGCTGCCAATTTACTGGTGGATTTGTAGCAGATGGAGCTCACAAATGTGTTGAGCTCAGTCCCTGCTTTTGTTCTGGTGGAACATAATATGTTCATCTTTAGGTGGCCACATGCAAATTGTATTGGGCGTTCAGAAAATTGTCCTTTGCCATATGTGTGGCATGTGACTGGGAATAGGCTGGGAGATTGCACATATGATGAGGCAAGAACACCTTGAGTGGAGTGCCAATCATCTTCCCAACTCCTCTGGTTACATTCAAAAATACCTTCGCAACTCTAGGGCAAGTGAGGCCAATTGTGACATTCTATCAGTTGTGGGCTTGGTGGTTGACGGAATATATGGGCGGGCTGCCAGATAGAGCTCTTAATGGCCTGCCAGTGGCATGGGATTGGAACTCCTCCAATTGGATTTGTGTGTCCAATAGCGAAGCACTGTCTCTGGCCAGTCCTGTGTAAGGACTTCTCTTCACTTCAAACTGAACTTATTTCCCCCTTGTCAAGGCCTGCCTGATCAGTTGCATCACAGTCTCTATGTTTCAATGTGTTCCACCTATGTTTCCATCTCTATGTTTCAATCTCTCCATGTCTATGTTTCAATGTGCTCCACACTTTGCACCTATTGCAGTACTGCCAATGACCACTAGTGGCACTACTGGTACTGAAAAGAAGTTGAGTTCTGGTGACCGGCTGCACTCGGGAGCAGAAGCCATAGCTTCCCAACATCAACCAGGTAGGTACCTGATGGGTTTTTAGTTATGTCGGAGTGCCGTATTATGGTCTTGCAGGATTACCATTAACTCCAGTCATTAACTCTGTTCTTGTCTCTGTAGATGCTGTATGATCTACCTAGTATTTACACAATGATAGTAATACACACATTAGCTGGAGTGGCAGCTAAGGTTTTGTGCTTAAGCTCTGGAGGAGGGTTTGAGCATTCTGACTTCGAGGTAGAAGAATGAACTACTTAATTATGGCTAACACTAAAACCAAAAAGAAAAGAATAAAACAATTTTAAGATATTTAAGTTCTCATTTAGGATAATTTGAACCACAAAAATAAAGCACAAAACGGGAAAAGTCATCAATGGGGACTAAGCAAATGGGTTTTATAAAGAGACAAACATTGCATTATGCCACAACAGCTGTTTTTGTGTGATATGGTCTGGATACAGTACTTGGGGTATTTGTATGAAAACCATGGGAGATGTGATAAGGTGCTCAACAATGGAAGTCCTATGTATGATAATCATGAGATTAAATAGATGTAATATTAAGCTGTTGTTCTGGTGATTTGTGATGTTGCCCAGATATTGTTTAAATAGTGTGTGTGTGCGCGCTATGCTTGTCCAAGTGAAAAATCATGCTGCCTATTCCCCTGCAATGATTTGCATTAAAATAATACCACTTCATTGCGGATAACAGTACTTTAGTGTATAGTATACAGACATGAAATCACAGCACGTTTATTCAGCAAGACAAGGCAAAGTGTCGACCATGCAAAATGTCTTCAATGCCTGCAAGATTATGAAGGGATGTGGTACTGAATAAACCGCATTGAGCTCAGGCAGAAAACTCTTCACTGGCTAGTGATGCATATGACAGAAACAAAGATAATTGTAGTCATTAAACCCAATCATCTCAATCCCAGGACATCCCTGCAACAGTTTCCCAGAGTACTATTCTAGGCCCAACCATCTTCAACTCCTCCATTAATGACTTTCCCTACATCAAATGGGTCGAAGTCAGGATGTACACTGAGGCTTGCAGGGTTCAGTTCATTCACAAATCTACAGAAAGGGATGTCACCCATGCAGCCAAACCCAAACAGCATTCAAGCTTGGACTGTTAAATGGCAAATCAATTCATGCCACACACAAGTGCTAAAGAAAAGGCCAGTTCCAACAAACCAGAATCAAACCAACTCCCCTTGACACTCAGTGGAATTGTTGTAGCTGACTCACCCACAATTAATAATGTGGGAGTCATCACTGACCAAACACTTAACTGTACCAGTCACGTAGACACCAGTCACATAAGCAGTGTGGCTACAGATTTGGAAGTTGGCGGTTCTGTGGTATCCCCTGTCTTGACTCCTCAAAGTCTGTCCACTATCTACAAAGCACAGTATGATAGAATATTCTCCAACTGAGTGCAGACTGAATCTTGGTGTTATCCAAGATAATTCAGCACACTTGATCGGTGGCCCATCTACCAACTTAAACATCCACCACTAGTGAACAGTGGCAGCAACGTTTGCCACCCAAGATGCACTGCAGCAACTCACCAAAGCCCCTTTGACAGCACCTTCGAAGCCTCTACCTTTAAGAAAAGCAAGAGAAACAGCCACTTTAGGAACACCACCTCCTGCAAGTCATATAAGATCCTGATGTGAAATTAGTCCGCTGTTTCTTCACTTTTTCTGTATCAAAGTCTTGGAACTTCCTGCGTAACAGCTCTGGAGCTGCACCTGCACCAAACAGACTGCAGTCCAAAATGGCAGCTCGTGGAGGGCAATTAGGAATGGGCAATAAATACTGACCTTGTGAAAATGTTCACAGATCATGAAGGTATTAAAAAAAAATTGTTTTTACTTGTTAGCAAGATAGGAATAACAAGAAGGCAGCATTTCAGGTAATTATACAAAAAAAGCATATAAAGGAACCATTTTTATTAAACACATAATGTGGCCTTCCTCTCAGAGTCAATAAAATAGTTGAAAACATTGAGAATTAGCAGAAATTTAATCTACTATTTTTTTTTAACCAATTTGCCTTCAGCTCAAAGCTATAACTCATATTTTATAATATACATACACAAAAGCTTTAAAGTTTCTGTGAAAGAAATCAATGTAAAGACTTCAGTTACACACTCTTTTACTAGTAGCCGAGAGTAGTATTGGGTCTCCAAGCAGTTTGGTTGAAATAGCTGTCATCTAGACATGACCGTGTCCCCACCCTCATCACATTTTTCTTTAATTGAGAAGATCGCAAACTTTCTTTGGAAATGGGAGTGGTCTCTCTTATCACAAAGTCACAAGCCTCGTTACGTTGATAGTTTTGGCCTCATTTTGAAAGGTCTGTTGAGATAAGGAAAACAATAATTTTATTTAAGAAACATCTTACTGTGGCTTCATCTTGCCACGAGGCTACAAGAGAGAACAAGGTCATGTGATGTTCCATCACTTCTTTCGGTGATGTAGATATTGCTTCATTAGCATATCACATTGTTCAGACTTAACCCTCATACTACATCTCCCTCCATGGCTCTTTTTCTATCCATTATAATACATCCAGTCTCTAATACAATATTTGCAGATTCTCAACATGTTTAGAGGAGATTTTATTTTGAGTCTTCCTTGTAGTCTTCCAGGCTCTGCTTGCCAGAAGAATAGTCAGATGACTGGCTCAGAAATCAGGTCATCATCATGCACCCCTCGAAGAAGGAAACATCTATGGTCCGTTTGACTGTGTTGTTGTTTATGTAGAAGGTTGTTTGTATATAGTTGTTAGCACTGCTGCCTCACAGCACCAGGGACCTGGGTTCAATTCTACCCTTGGGCAACTGTCTGTGTGGAGTTTGCAGATTCTCCCTGTGTCTGCATGGGTTTCCATCGGGTGCTCCGGTTTCCTCCCACAGTCCGAAGATGAGCAGGTTGGGTGGATTGGCCATGCTAAATTGCCCATAGTGTCCAGGGATGGTAGATTAGGTGAGTTATAGGGCTGGGTCTGGGTGGGATGTTGTGAGGGTTGGTCTGGACTAGTTGGGCCGAAGGGCCCGTTTCCACACTGTAGGGTTCTTTGATTCTATGATTCTATGATATAGAGACTAGCGCATATCTGTTCCATTGCACCCTATTATTTTCAGATTGAATGAAGGGGAATCATAGATATAGGGCAGAATTTTACATTCCTCACCAGATGTTTTAGAAGGCGGGTCAGGAAACTCAATTGGCCAGGTGGCAAAAGTTCAGTTTCACAAAGACAGGTTTAATACTTGCTATTAAATGCTCAGAACCTTTCAGGAGGGTTGGTCTTCTTGTATTGCATGGTTAGGAACCTGCTTTGTGTTAATCAGTATGTCATAATACAGAGTTAACGCCCCACTCTGCTGGAATTACACTCATAGACACACTTCTGCTGGTCAAAAATGGGAAGCATGTATGTTCACAATCACAACTATGTATACGAGGTATGTACCCGATGATTTCTTCAAGCTTAGTTAAACTGCTTCATTCACTTGTCTTCTTCATAATCGAGTGATTCCTTTGCATAAACACTTATAGAAACCTGTTCATGCTGAGCAGGTTATCAGCAGTTTCAGTCGTACAAGGTCGGACTTGTTGATGGTAATTGGCTACAGTTTAGGGCGGAAGTCTGACCTGGCTGTTGAACCTGCCCAAGCAAGGTGTCTACAGTGAATAATGCCAGCAGACCCAACTGGGGCCTGAAGTGGGGCTGAACTCAAGAGGTGCCTCAATTCAAAAGGCCCTTTTCTCCAGTTGCGTCCTTGCACCAATTGAGACTAGTTATTCTCCAATTCTCCTTGTTATGATGAAAGGTCAGTTTTAAGTGTGAACCCCAGCAGACTATGTGGGAGGCAGTGCCGCTGTGGTACCAGTGATGCTACGTTGGTAGCTGCAATGAAATGAGAGAAACTGATGGACCTAAGCACACTCTGCATTTGTGCATCCCTATTTTTATTCAGTCTGAATTCTTGAACTTGCAGTGATATTTTTGCTAACTCTTTAGAATTGAAGAGTTTGTATTCTGTTTCTATCTTAAGGATAAGACCGAGAACATAATCCAAACATGTTTTACAAGCTCATGTAGCAGCTAATGCTTCGTCTTGTATTTCTGTTCAAGCTCTGTCAGTGAACATGATATATTATGAATTGATCTACACCTTCATCCATTTGTCATTGAGTCATACAGCATGGAAACAGACCCTTCGGTCCAACCAGTCCCTACTGAATGCAATCCCAAACTAAACTAGTCTCACCTGCCTGCTCCTGGCCCATATCCCTCCAAACCTTTCCTATTCATACACTTACATAAGTGTCTTTTAAACATTATAACTGTGCCCTGCATCCACCACTTCCTCAGAAATTTCATCCCAGATGCAAACCACCTTTTGTTAAAAAAAATTACCCCTCATGTTTTTTTAAAATCTCACTCCTCTCACCTGAAAAATATGCCCCCTAGTCTTGAAATCCCCCATCCTAGGGAAAAGACACCTACTATTCATGATTTTATAAGCCTTCCAGTAATATTGAAGGTGCATTGGAAGAATAGACTGCAGGGAGTGTTGGCTCACAGTGAGCTAAAATATCAGGCAAGTTCGCCATCTCTTTGACGTTGTTTGAAAGAACTCTGTTGTGCTTCCTCCCAGTATTATGCCTTGGTTTATCACAACAGCTGCTGTAGTGACCCATTGATAACAGCAAGTTTAGGCAGGAACTTCCCATCTTGTTTTAAAGTACCCCATGAATCTCTGGAACGCAGTCCGAATCTGAGGATCTGGAAACTGCCACAGGGCTCTTGTCTTTTGTGGATCAACTCTAACATGAGATGAATCCACAACATGCTCAAGAAACAGTTTGCTGTGAGAATTTGTGTTTGGAGCTGAGTGTAAGCCCTGCCTCCCACAGGCATCACTACATGTTGCATACTCACATGCTGTGTCTGGATGGATCCATGGGTCAGGATCTCATCTGTGAGTCATAAGACTCCACTGAGATCTTCAAGGAAGGTTGACATTATCGTCTGGAAGATTTCTGGCAATGATCGACTCTGCTTTCTGACCTCTTTTTGACTAATTACTTGAAATATTCTGTTAAGGCTAAATCATCCACTAATTGCAAATGGTCAGACAATACTTCACTTAAGACTCCAACAATAATTCTACCCATGACAAGTTCTTCTTTCGAATTAGCATACTCACAGTTCTATGCACTGATAAATGTGGCAATTATTTCCACTTGTTGCTGGATACACCTTTTATAATTTATTCTGCTTGACAATGGTTTTTACTGTGGATTAGGAATCAAATCTTTTATTACTTCCTAGTATGTAGCCTTTTGTTCATCAATGCATTTCTTGACTGAGGTATTATCTTATTACATAAAGTAACGTCATAACATTCAAGACTATGGGCCAAATGCTGGAATGTGGGGCTAGTGTAACCTTGATAGTACAGACTCAATGGGCTGAAGGGCATCTCGTGTGCTGTAAGCGTCTATGTTTCTATGAGGAGTGTATTGATCTGCTCGACCCTTGATTCTGCTATGAGGCTGGATGCAGTGCAATAGCGAGGAGTTCTTCGTCTCCAATTCAGCTGTGTTTCTGCTAATGGGAGAGAATTTCTCCTCGTGTTCTGTCGCTGCCACTAAGGTCCTGCTGTGCTGCGAAAGGATATTTCCAGAGTATTTGGAAACGCTATAGATTTCTAATTTTTCAGAGGGTACCTCCATCCTCAAGTGTTTACCTCTCCCAATGGGGTAACTTGCTGAACTTCTCTGTGGGCTTTCCTATTGGACCTGCTGCTTTCTTGGTCTACCCACCATCCTTAATTGGATGGGAGCTTTAGAGGCTGTTTCTCAAATGACCTCAAAGACCAACATTCCACCACGGCCTCTTCTTAGAGGGAATTGAGGCTGAGGTTGGTGTTCTAGTACCTCAGCTCAATCCAGCCCTCTTTCTGTCTTAAAATGCTACAAATCGGCTGTGCATTTCTGTTTAGATTTTCAGCATTCACAGTATTTTTCCAATTCCCTGTTATTTGTGGATCTGTGCTTTTCCTTTGTGTATGAGTATTGGCTTGTAAATAAAACACTTACTGCACAAGAGAAACTCAGCAACATAATAAAAGAACTTTACAGAGGCCAGTATCCTGTCACCAACTTGCTCTTTATTTATACAAAAAGAGTCCTTGACACTGATCCAATTCCCTCAGAGTCAGCTCTCAGAGTGAAAAGAACCCCTGACACTCCTGTTTATAGCTGTCAGCCAGGGCTCCCTGATTGGACCAGATTAACGGCCTGAATCAGGGAAGTCATATTCTATGAGGTCCACCTGGCTGACCTCATTACAATCACTACACATAACATGACAATAAATGAGAACGGATCTTCAATGTGGAAATCCCTGTTTAAAAGTAACACGTAATTTATTCTATAATTTACCTGGTGAGAAACAATTGCCTAATTAAGCAGAACACAGGAGCTGTGAGATTTCTTGGTGCAGTGCAGACCCAGCCAACCATGTATTCTGTGATCAAATGATAACCGTGAAAAAAAGCATTACTTGTAGATTTTAAAACTGTCAACCCCTAAGCTAACTACTTGAAGCCAAGAGTAAAATCCTAGCATGCCAAAGTGGCTCCATCGTGTCTCAAGTAATAAAATTATCGCCTTACAATTTTCATTGATGTTGAGATGCGATGCTCCAGTGAAGGGATTTCAGATGGTTTATTATATTACAGGTGGAATAGTTATACAAATTATTCTTGTGATGCAGTTAGATAGATTAATATTGGCTTGCTGTCTAGAAAGCAATATTCTAAGCTGTCCTGAGGTAACCGCCTCTCCATGGAGTTTAGATTCAAGGGGTAATCGAATCAGAAATTATGCCATGTCTTTGAAGTATTAATGAATGCAAGGCTGCTGATGGTGAGGGAAAACAAAAGGTTTTTTTGCTGAATCATGAAAGATTTCACCATGTTTGAAATTCCACCATGTGTATTTTTGACTGTCAGCAGGAAACACTGAGCAAACAGCTTGACAAACAGTAACGTACCATAGTGAACACAAGAGAAATTAGATGGGCATGGAATTTAACCTTTAAGTAGTGTAAAATTAACACTTCCTTGCACTTCAATAGGCATGTTGGCTCTCTGTCTGAAGAAGTGTTAAGAACTTCTTGCTTGCATCCCAATAACACAAGGCCCAGATTTTGCAATGGTTATGATGCAGTAAACAGTCTTTGCTGTCATTACTTATCTGAATCTGACAACAACTCCTGCAATCCATGCAGATGCTTTTAAAAATAGAACTTATAGGTAACTCTGCTTCTCTCTGTAGAGCGAATTGATGAAATAACCACAGACTGCAGTTAATCATAAAACATTGAAGATCCATGTTTATGCTATAAGCCTCACTGTAAAGCCCTTGAAATGTTACATCGTATTGAATGAGGTGAAATTGGGTTTCTAACAACTTACTAAGTTACAACACTGCTGAAAAGCCTCTGGCCCCCAAAATACTTACTCTTATGTTTGTGGAATGTCAAATTCTACAACATCCTATAATCTAACTGTGCTTTCCACATGTAGAGCAATTTGCTGCCTGAAAGCCATCGTTTCAGATAGCAATCTCAGAAAGGGGCTCTTGTGATGCAGTGGCAGTGTCCCTATCTCTTGATTAGGAAGCCTGGGTTTAAATCCCATTTGCTCCAGAGATGGCTAATAACATTCCTGAACTGGTTGATTAAAAATATCCAGAAGTCTTAGAAACTGCAATTCCCAGATTGGAGTGGATGTAATATCATCACAAATTGCTTGTCTATTTAAGCAACAAAATTTGGAAGTCAGAGCAATTATTCTATGTCCTTCTGTGCTATTGTAGCAGAAGAAAATGTGAGTTCAAAGATAAATATCTCCCAGGAACATGTGGCTCCATTGTTGATTCTGAAATAACTACACTGATGACTTAGATTCATATTGGTTTTAATTAGACCAACTGCATAATGCATGGAATATCTTCCTTTTGCTTCTTCACTCTAATACAGGGTGAATACAGTTGGATCTTGCTGTGTGTTTGGATGTAGCAAGGTTAAATGTCAGGGACCAATGGACTGCACTCCAAGGCAGAACATCTGCTCTGAGGTTAGGATAGACCAGAATGGAGGCTGAGATATATATGTGACCCTTGATAGAGACTAATAAGGATTTGAAATGATTTGATTTATTATTGTCACATGTACTGAGATACAGTGAACAGTGTTGTTTTGCTTGTTAAGCAGACAAATCATACCTTATATAAGCACATCAGGATTATAGAACGGAATGCGGAATATAATGTTACAGCTTCAGAGATGGTGCAGAGAAAGATCAACTCTAATTTGAGAGATCCAATCACCAGTCTGATAACAGCGGGGAAGAAGCTGTTCTTAAATCTGTTAGTGCACGTTTTCAAACAAGGGTCTTTGGTTATGTCAGCTTCTTTCCTGAGGCAGTGGGAAGTATGGATGGAGTCAATGGATAGAAGGCTGGTTTTCGTGATGGACTGCGCTGCATTCATGGCTCTCTGCAGTTTCTTGTGGTCTTGGGAAGAGCAATTGCCATATCAAGCTATGATGCACCTGAATAGGATGCTTTCTATGGTGCATCTTATGAAAATTGGTAAGAGTGATTATGGACACGTTGAATTTCTTTTGCCTCTTGAGGAAGTAGAGGCGTTGTGTGCTTTCTTGACAGTAGTGTCCACATGGATGGACCAGGATAGATTGTTGATGATATTCTACCATTTGATGAAGCGGCGCTCATGGAAACTGGGATTTTCAGATACTTGACCTCTCTACCAGGATTTTCCAGATGCAATCTAGTTGGAGGCTGCTATCAATCGGATGTAAATGTATGTCCTTTTTTTTAACTTAATTTGGAACAGTAGTAGTTCCACTTGGCTCACGATGCTCCTGCAATTGACCCAGCCTTTTCGACCCCATCCCCACTCTCTTTATTCTTCCCCAGCTCAGGATTCCCCTGCGAGTATCTATCTTTAAGGGGAGCAGCCAGAATTCACTGAGATTAAGTAGATGAACATATTCTGAGGACTTACTCTCTCCCAGTTCATATCCAGTGTCTGGCATCTCAACATCTTTCTGGCAATTCAAAGGTAGTGCTTGGTTTTGCATTGGAGTAATTACCAAAAGGGGGAGGTGGTGGTGTGGAAGGGACAGGGTTCAGGGATGCAGTGGTGTTGCCAGACTATATAGCAGTGCTGTCAACGTTGAGGCCACACCTTGAGTATTGTGTGCAGTTTTGGTCTCATTTTTAGTCTTAAGAAGGACATTCTTGCTATTGAGGGAGTCCAGTGAAGGTTCACCAGACTGATTCCCGGGATACCAGGACTGCCATATGAGGAAAGGCTGAATCGATTGGGTTTGTACTCACTGGAATTTAGAAGAATGAGGGGATTTCACAGAAACGCATAAAATCCTGATGGGACTGGACAGGTTGGATGCAGGAAGAATGTTCCCAATGTTGGGGAAGTCCAAAACTAGGGTATCACAGTTTAAGTATAAGGGATAAGCCATTCAGGACTAAGATGAGGAAGAATTTCTTCACTCAGAGAATTGTGAACCTATGGAATTCTCTCCCATAGGAAGCTTTTGGGGCCAGTTCATTAGATATATTCAAGAGGAAGTTGGATGTGACTCTTGCAGCTAAAGGAATCAAGGGGTATGGGGAGAGGGCAGGAATGGGATACTGAGATTGCATGATCAGCCATGATCATATTGAATGGTGGTGCAGACACGAAGGGCTGAGTGGCCTACTCCTGCACCTATTTTCTGTGTTTCTATGTAAGTGACAGAGTTGGCAGCATGACCTTTGGAGATCCGATGAACTGGAGGACTTTAAAGAGATAGGGAAGGGGAAGGTGATGGAAAAATTTGAATTCGAAGCTGGAAATGTAAAATTTGAGACATTGGCGGAGTTGGACTATGTCAGTAGGCACAGGAATGGTGGGACACTGGGACTTGGTCTGAGTGCCATGATGAAGCAGATCCCAGGTATATATCTGTTGGCGATGCTTATGCCCTGAAGCCTAGTGGGAAGCAAACATCCTGAGACACTATGAGCTAAATCTTACCAATAGTTTGCCTGTGCTATTTTTATCAAGCTTCACAGAGAGTTTCTCTCCATGAGACCAAGCAAGTCTTTTTTGGTGTGATTGTCTCTAACCTGCCTCATTAACCAACCTACCATGCTCGTATGGTGTTCCTTTCCTTTGATGTGAGCTCAGTTCTCCCACTCGCTACTCACCACTGCTGGGGTATCTTGGCATCTCCCAGTAACAGTGGTGTTAGTGCCAGGCTGGCACCCAGTCAAGCATTGGCAATCCAGTCTTGTCCTTACCATCCATGTAGTGGCATGGCAGCTGCAAACCAACACCTCTCATGGCACCGAGCTGGTATAGCGGACATTTTCTTGCACATCCACATTCCTACACCCATCACAGTGAAAGCGTCAGGCCACACAGCTTCCTTGTCCTGAGTCACATTGCATCTTATAACCCTTTATGTCGCTGTAACTATTTCCCTAATGCCCACCATAGCCCAGCATCTTACTATTGCTCAATATGGGAACTTTCCTTTTAGGGAAGGCTTCAAAAGGATTTAAAACATTTACTTTCATTCACCACGGCAAACAGAAATCAAATAACTAGAAGCTGAAACAAGAACAGAGAATGCTGAAGAAACGCAGCAGATCTGGCAACATCTATGGACAGAGAGACAGAGTTAATGTTTTGAGTTTGATATGACTCCTATTTTAAGGGCTCAGTTCTTGTCCCAAATTGTCTCACCATGTTGTAAAGGGCCCAGTAAGATCCTGCTCTATCATTATTTTGTGTTGGGGAAAGCTTTGGCCTAAAGCTGTGAGTTCACACAGATGCTGGGATTTATAATTCTGAGCACAGCAAATAAATTTATTCTGACCATCTAGGTGGTTCAAGAAAAAAAGTGATTGAAGCACAAAATGCTCAGGGTGGTCACATAGATTAAATGGAGACAGCAATGAATAATGGCTATCAAAGGCCTAATTTCACAAAAACGAGCGCTCGGTTTTTCGGAATAAGTATTCTGAGCTTGTTTTTAAGAGGACTGCTAGGATAAATGCCTGTGTGAAAATGATCTTCGCCACTCACCCTTCAATTTTCTGGCCTTAACCTCACCTCAATAAGGTAACTATTGTTAGCAATCACTGATTGGTTGCAACGATTAGATCTTATCTTTGTGTTTCTGCTCATGATTTAAATTTTCACATCGATTTAAAACATAAGCAAATGCCTTGGTTTGCAGTTTTTCTAAAACATAGCATTTTCCTACCTGCGTAAAGATAGAAGATTAGAAAGTGTGACTTTGTTTAAGATTTATAGAGGTAGGAATCAACGTGCTCTCTATTTCCAACTCGGAAGCACCTTGTGATGTTCATTTTTACTTTGAAAGTGTGAGACAAGTGTAAGCTGCTAAAACATTTCAGAATAGAGCATTACCCCAAGGCACTCTGTGTTGACTTAATGGAATGACATTATGTCCCAAAGGGCTCCAAGTGCAGGCAGCAAGTTAAGCAAGTTAAACAGAAGATTGAAAACATGGCCAAAGGGTTTGTCTTTGAACGCTGGTGAAGGTGAGTGGAAATAGTGTAAGACAGAGGGATTTAGGAAGCATATTCCAACAATTCTGGTTTGAATGCTAATATTTTCTCACCAATAGTTTGAAGAAAACAGGGATTATATGTAAACATTTATGGTGTAGAAGCCAAATTAGAATTATCGACAGACATCAACTGTCACAAATTAATGTCAGTTTTAGTTTACAAACAAGGATTTGTGACAGAGATAGTAGGAACTGCAGATGCTAGAGAATCTGAGATA